AGATTACTCATAGAAGTAATCCCAGAGCTGTGGAAATCAAAATGAATTCAGGAGTCAGGGTAAAGGATAAAGAAAAGTGACAATGTTCAATGATAATTCTGGACCAATGGTATTGGAATGGTATGAACACAAGAAGGCCAATGCTTTACCAAAGCAAGAGGGAAAATGATTGAGAAGAAAATAGTGAGAATAAAAATAGGCAAACAGGACAATGTTGGGGGAGGATAGAACCCATTGCTTAGAGATACAAATTAATTTTGGCAAGTAGAATATGTGCTGAAAGGCACAGTGCTGATCTGGAGATAGTGACTGTTACACTTATTTCTAGAAATATATGAACTATTAATCTTCAGACCTTGCATTTAAGAACAGAGCATCTGCACACACACTGGAAGTGCAATGTGAATTGTATTTCATAGTCAAAGAAATAACTAGCATAAATGAGCTGTATTTAAAGATGTTTGATTACGTTATAGGCATTGGAGGGGCTGCTCAGAGAGGTGGTGGATGTGGCACATCAGCCCAGTGCACAGCAGAGGCCTCGCCTGGGCCATGGATTTACTGCCTGTGAGTAGATCAAACCTACAGTGAATCCACAGCAGCTTTAGATTTGTCATGTCCTGATCCCTTTGCCTTCTCCAGGTTTTGTTCTAACCTGTGCTCTGGCTCACTGCAAATACACCAGGCCACGCTGGAGCCTCTTTGGTTGTTCCTGGTTGCTTTTCTTTTTCCCTTTCTGTTTTTTTTTCTCCTTTCTCCCCGCTAATCCAGTCACCTCCCCTGAAGTGGCTGAGGTTGTTATTCCTGCCAAGGGAGTGAGAGCACACAGAGCCTTCTGTCTGCAGAGCACTCACCCTGGCCCGGGCACAAGTGGAGCTTTTCTTAACTTTGGTTCCTGCTGCTCAGAAGCCACCAGTAGTGAGGGGTTTGGCCATGGAAATGTGGTAAGAGAAACGCACAGTGGAGAGAGAGATTTGCAATGTGAAGTTGAAATGTTGGGAGGGAGATGGGGGGACCGGGGTGGGGGGATCAGAGCCCGCCAGCAGCAGTTGAATGTTGTGTGGGGCCAGGGCAGCCTCGGGGGCTGTGAACCTGCTGGAACTGTCTGACTTGAACAGTGGGGTTTTCAACGTTGTGAAGGAGTTGCAAGGCAGGGTTGGGTGTTTTTTGGGTGTTTGGTGGAGCCAAGAGCCTGTCAAGGAATGGAGAGGCCTGGAGACTGCTCAGGGACCCTCCTCACCTTCTGTCCCTCCAGAGCTCTGTCAGGCCCGTTGGAAATTTGTCTTGTCCAGCAAGGTCAGCGACAGCCTTGAGCTTGTCCTGAGTGTGTGTGGACCATCAGGGCCAAGAGAAGGTGTGGACTAAGCAGCAGCACTGTTCCTGCAGCTCCTCTGGGACAGTGCTCCGAGAAGGGGCTGCAAAGAGCCAGGAGTGCTGGGGGAGTGTGTCTGCAGCCAGGGGGGTTCCCGCTGAGCAGCTGCTTTGGGGGGGTTGGGATGGTTTTTTGACAAAGCTCTAGGGCTTGCCAGGTGTGGCAGAGAGGAAAGGAGAAATTCAGCCTGTGACAGTTCATGGTTCCAGCTTTGTTTCTTCTTGAGGAATTGCTTCAGCCTCAGTCAGAAGGACTCCTTGTTTGCAGGCTCAGCGTTATTGCCCACAGCACAGGGATGGTTCTGAATTGCACATCAGGACCTGGGAAGGAAGGGGGAGGTGAGAGGGTGAGTCCCCATCTTTCTTTTCTCCCATTTCTTTTTTTTTTTAAATCAGCTTTCTGAGAAGAAAGGTTGTTTATATATATTCCTGCCACATTTTTATGGCTCTCTCATTTTAGACCATTAATTTCTTTATGTTGGGAAATTTATAAGATAATTACACTTTGAAATTGCCTGAAACGTTTGATATTTTGAAAGACAGATTATTCGTCCTTGTTCCATAAACTATACGGAAAAAGCTGTGATATTGATATCATTTAAAACCCAACTGCTAATTTACTCTTTGGCTTACTCTAATTTGAAAGGGACAAATTTTATTTTGGGGTCTATCATCATTTCGGCTG